ATCTTGTGTTGGTGGTATAATATCGTCAGCGGTAATCGTTTGGATTTGCTCAAAATAACGATCTTTTGGCAAGTTTTCAAATTCATGTCGATCACGAACTGGTGTAAACAATTTCTTTTTCCCACTTCGAACATTATGCTCAAATTGCTTAAACTTATAGAAGTATGAGTTTCTATGGATGAACCTGTGTGCCAAGATTGAAAAAACTCCTCCTCCAAAACGATTTTGTCTTTTGATTGGTTCAACTTGGCCATAATTCAACTTAAGTCAGATATTTGCTTAAGTGTTAAGTCATACTTCATGCACGTCGTTTGGATTGTAAAATATTAAAACAGCTGAGATGGAAAATATTCTGCAGAATCAAGTGTTTTACCGAGAAACTTTTGTCTTGATTGAAATCAACGGGAGTAGCATATAATGATCTCAGAGAGGCAGTCAAGCATTTTAATAAGTCCAGGGTGTTGTTATTTTAGACCTGTCAGATATCAACAATAATCTGTCTGCAACATTGTTTTTTATATTATTTAAATGTTTTATACTCACCATGTCAGCTTCACATCAACAAAAAACACAACATGCTTCATATGAAAAAGTTGATCGATTAATATTATTTTCAAGTAAGTTTTAGAAATTAGAAAAAAGGACGAGCTTTTTGTCTAGATATAACACTTATCTCTCCCTCCGAAGCAATATGATAAAAATATCTTTATTCTAGAATGTATCTTTTATATTGATTGTGAAAGTGAGTTGGCTACAGAAAATCGTGTCGAACGCTCGATACGCCTCGGTAATATTTTGAAAGAGTATGGTGCACAAATTTGTGATATACCATCTGAGAAGACAACAACGCATATCATTTTCAAAGATGGAAAATATGAAACAAAGTTATTCGCAAGAAAACATCATATTCCATTAATTGATCCAAAATGGTTGGAATGTTGTTTAAAAAGAAAACAAATCATTAGTTATCGAAAATATCAAATCTCATTGGATAACATCAACATTGAAAATAAAGGTAAAAACCCAATCTCTTGTGGGAAAGAAAATTTATTAAGTTATTTCTAAGTGATTATAGAATTTTAAACTAAGAGAAAATTCTTTTTCGTACTTGAGTATATTTGAGTATATTTATTTTTGTTTATCTAGATGAAAAACATGATGAGAATAAAGATATCTCTGTTTTACCACCGATATTTTCTTCAATAAACACTCCCAAAAGAGGATCTCCTTCGGCAGTACTACAACAACCCAATGATTCAACACCAAAAAATACAGCATGTGTCGTCTCCACTGATGTACGTTTATATGTCTTGTAAAATCAGATTTGAATATAGCCATGTGTACTACTTTTAGGCAAAACTTTCATCAAGTGGGAAAAAGAAATTGTTTACACCAGTTCGTGATCGACATGAATTTGAAAACTTGCCAAAAGATCGTTATTTTGAGCAAATCCAAACGATTACCGCTGACGATATTATACCACCAACACAAGAT